AAAAATTTCAAAATTTATAACCAAACAAATTTTTTTTTTTCAAAACTCATAACTCAAAATACGACTCTACACTCAAATCATGGTTCTAAAAATAATTTTAAAAAACAAAATAAAAAAAAAAATTTGAATTTTTTCTTTTAGTTATAAATTTTGAAAAGAGTTTGGCTTGGGAGAACCAACACATTTATGCATATTTCCTTCATTATGGTCTTGGTCTCCATGATTCAGTAGAAATCGTATTTTTATCCTTTGATCTTTCTTTACAAACAAAGACACACTCTGCTTGCTTTATCTGCACTAAAATTTTGCTCCTTATTCTCCATATGCACAAATTAAGGTTTTACTGGATGCTACTTCCTCCTCCCACTCCTGTGCAAACTTCTCTCTCCCAAGTCCCAACCATAGTTTTTAATTCCATTATAAAATGGGACACCTTTACCATCTCTTTCATTCCTGGTGAGTATTTTTTATTTATTTATTTTTGGACATAAACTAAGGTGATTTGCTCGTGTTGGCTGTTTTGACTATTTATAGTGGAGTGTTGTGATTTGTCTGGTGCTGCAACACTCGTATCATCTAGTTTGTCTTTTGTTTTTTTTTCTCCCCCCTCCTTTTCTTGTGAAGATAAGCTGGCACCGTTTTAATCTGTGATTTCTTGCTTTGTTCCTTAATATATTGATTTCTTTGCCATAGTTGTTGATTTTTTATAAGCCTGTTCATTTTGGTTACGTTATATTTCTGCAGATAGCCACTGATGTGGCTGCCCGAGGATTGGATATTCCTGATGTTGAAGTAGTGATAAATTATAGTTTTCCTCTCACAACAGAGGATTATGTCCACAGAATAGGCAGGACTGGACGAGCTGGTAAGAAGGGTGTTGCCCACACATTTTTCATGAAGGAAAACAAGGTATAATTTTGTATTATTATAAAATACTAATACTGTTTTTTGATTTCCTGAATGGAACAATGTCACTTAATTCATATTTTCTGATGAGCAACAATTGATTTTACTTCAGGGATTAGCTGGGGAGCTGGTCAATGTTCTGAGAGAAGCTGGGCAAACCGTTCCTGCTGCCCTTATAAACTTTGGCACTCATGTAAAGAAAAAGGTGTTCTTTTCTTTTCTTTGATTATTTATTTATTTATTTATTGGTTTTATTTTATAGGAGATGGATGGAGTAGGAGGAGGGTTCTTATAATTAGTGTTGTGGTGTTTGATGTGTAATTCCTTAAAGCTTGATGCTCGTAGGGGAACCTATCTGATACATAATCTGACATGTAGGGTAATTTTTTCTTTGTTGCATGAACATGCACATGGAGCACATGCAAAATATACATTAGAACTTGGCAAGCAGAGATAGATAAGATGTTAATGTGTAGGATTATATAATTGATGTGTATATTGTAGTCTTCTTTCGGTGGTGGCATTTCTCCCAAAAAAAAAAAAAAACTCGCGCTCGAGTTTGCCTTAATGTATGTGTGTGGGTGTGGGTTTGTAGACTAAACATGCTTAGAAGTGTCAAATGAGTCTAGTAGTGCTGGGATGGGGAGCCACTTAAATGTTTTCCATTAACCGTTCATATGTCGGATTTCGGCATGCTTTTAACATGAACCCATTCTTGCTTGTGTTTCACTAATTTGAATTTGTGGAAGAATAGTGTATTGTGCACAAATTTTCCCCTGCAATTGCAGAACCTCCTCATTTTTATATACTCTGTGGATGGATATTGGTTCAATGTCGGAATTCATAAATAAACTTATGGAACTTAGTGCTCATGTCAATGTATCATATATTCCCTTGTATAAACGGAACATTTGTGTCATGAAAGATTACAACTTAATTATGTGTTTGACTTTTTACCGAGTGCAAGGCACACATGCATATTGAAAGAAATATTAAACTTGAATTTTAATGATAATTTTTAGGTGAACAACATGAGGAAGTTTAAGAGCATGAACTAGTCTATTTAGTGCCATCTCTTGTATTGGTGCATAATATCTACCGTTCTGTAAATGTGCGCAGTTTGTGCATGAGTGCAATCCTGTGGCATATGTTCAATGATGTCTTTATTAAATCTTGATTAAGCCTCGTGAGAATTGTCATGGCATCCTATTGTTTACGGGTTATGCATGTTTAGGAGTGCAGATTATACTACTTAATGCTCTGTTTGTTTCGGCAAAAAACATTTTCCTGCAGAAATTTTGGCTCTGTTTGGTTGTGAATTCAAAATGTAATTCCACATGTGTATTTCAGTATGATGTTTGGTTGTGTGTTTGGAATCAACTTTCCAAACTTCTGCAAAGAGCTCTGTAATACAGCCGCATTTTTTGTTCAAATTTTGGCCAGGGGAAGACCACGCGGACGTCCTTAGGGACTACCGCCCGGACGTCCATGGGGACATCCACCTGGATGTCCTTTGCTGTACAGGAATTTTTTTTTTTTTTTTTTTTTTTTTTTGCAATTGATTTATATAATTGGAAAAAAAAATTTCTGAAATTTTTTTAATTTTTAATGTGCTTTAAAATAATTTTGAGTTGTATATTTAGTTATGAGTTGTAAATTTTTGTATCACATCAAATATCACATCAACAATTCCCCACTCAAATCAAACATCTTTTCCAAAATTATTTTCAAAACTCTTTACCAAACAAATTTTCTACACTCAAATCATAATTTTACAACACACAAATTCAAAATACAATTCATACTCTCAAATCACATTTACAAAACACAACCAAACGCAACCTTTGTTCTTCCAGAAAACGTTTTCTTCTGTTTAGTTGCAACTTTGAAACTAATGTACTAGTGGTGGTATTAGTGGTAGTGGAGGTGGAGGTGGAGGTGGTGGTGATGGGGTGGTGGTGAGTGGCTGAGGTGGTGGTGAGATGGTCATGGCAGTGGTGAGTGGCGAAGGTGGTGGTAAGGTGGCAGTGGCATTGGCATTGGAAGACTTTAGCTCGAAAAATGTTTATCACATTTCAGAAGTTCAAAAAACATTTTTTTGCCGAAATAAACTTGTTTTATGTCAACCACAAAAAACATTTGTCATCATACCAAACACTAGAAAATGCAGAAAATATTTTTTGCCAAAGCAAACTAAGCCTTAGTTTGAATTACTACTAATTGTCTTATGTTGTTTTGATGCTGCAGGAGTCTAAGCTTTATGGGGCTCATTTTAAGGAGATTGCTGCTAATGCTCCAAAAGCTACAAAAATAACATTTGACAGTTCTGATGATGAGACTTGACTCTAAAGGTGACCCACAAGTCGATTGTCTTGGGCCAGCGGCAAACATGTTTATTGGATATTGTTTACCAAATTATGGTAAATATATATATTATTTCCAGTGCAGACGACATCACCCTTTATCCTTTGTGGGTTAGTATATGCTAACGTGACAAGCAGAGGGGCAAATGTGATCTTGAATATCGAGCAAGGTGATTGAGGTTATGCCCAATATTTTGTAGTGTTAAATTTTGTATTTGTTCTCTCTCTCTCTCCCTCCCTCACTCTCGCACAGATTTTCCCATTATGATGGTCATTTAACATATGGGAAACCTCATATTCATTTTACTTTGTATTTTTGATGAGGTCTGGGAATGTGAAGTGTGTCACTAAATTATTGAGGTTAAAGTTCAACAGAATGTTTCTTTTTAGTGGAATATATAAGCATTGATTATTTGAAGTTCATGTTTTACTATTGGGTGATACCAACTTGTCAGCCATGATTCATGGTGGTGCTTCTGCTTACAACTTGGGTAGATTGTAATATGCTAGTGTGTTCTTATTTTACCACACTTGGTTTTTAATGTTCTGAAACAGCTTGCAAATTTTTGTACTGATTTTTTTAGACTGATAAATATTAACCAAATCCAGGTGTTACCTTATGTAAATTCCCCCCGTGATCATGTCGTGGCTGGAGTTTGTGAACTAACAAAACTAGCTGAGTATCCTATCGTCCCTTTTAAACCCTAGCTGTCAAATGTTGCCATTCCACTGCCGTTTGAAACCCTTGCTGCTGACCTCACCACCTTTTGGAACCCTAGCTGCCACCTTGAAACCTTAGATTTGGTTGAGAGAGAGTAGGGAGAAACAGAGAGATAGGGTAGGTGTAAGGAGGAGATGAGAAGTTAGGGATGGAATTAGGGTTGGAATATTGAGGGGTGTATTGCAATAAAATATAAAATTTTAAGTTGTTTGAAAAGTATAAGCTCAGCTCCTCCCTCACTAGGTTGCAAAACAAACCAAGATATTTCGAGCTTGATGCCTAGGTTTAGTATATTTTAATTTTTGTTACGTATTCAAACCAAACTTGAACAATTTAGTATTCAACTCAGTAAATATATACATGTATTGTAAATTTTTTTTTAAAATTACTTGTGTTTGACTTGTAAAGCTTGTTCAAGATTGGTTTATGTAAATATGCATATACTTGAATATGTTTTGAAATTTGTAATGTTTTTAAGTTAAAACAACTTATTACTTACCTAGCTCATTTGCAACCACATCTCTCACCTGCTGTGGCAGGATTTTCTGAACCAACTAAACTAAGGAAGTTGGTTAGTTAGTGTTTGATAAAAATTTAAGTGTTAAATTAAAACAAGTTTAATATGCATAAGATGAAAAATTAAAATTTATTATCTTTAACATTCATTTTCTCATTTTTGTATTGGGGTGATTGAGGTGGGGGTAGAGGGATAGTGGTTTATGGTGATGATGGAGGGGTGATGTGTTGGATGTAAAGGGGTGGTGGTGGTACTTGTGGTGGTTATAATGTGAAAGTAGTGGCAACAGGTGTTAGTTGCAGATGTGGTGTTGGTAGGGGTGGGGGTGTAGTACAGGATTAGTGTTTGCTGCGGTGGTGAAATCATAACAATCTTCATCGATGTTTATACACCAATAATTATAAATTTAGCTCAGTATTAAAATTTCTTATTACTTAATATTTTGATAAGTTTTAAGAGGAAATATTATTTTATCCGCAAATTATCACTCAAAAATCAATTCAATTCCTATTTTTACTAATATCAATTTTTTACATAAATTATTTGATTTTAGATTAATTTTATCTCATTACTAACTGTCGTTTATAATCAAACGAAAGTGTGGGGGCATATTTTTTGGATAACAACACGTGGCCAAGGTGGCACCGAAGTGCTAGCCGAGGTGCCACGTGTCCTGGTTTTGGCACTGAGATTTCCTGCGAAGATACCGGAATCCGAGATGAGCGGATAAGGGATAAGAGTCCTAGAATGAGGGAGGACCTCAGCCTGGATAATAATAAAACTCTTAGGGAGTTTATCTTTATCTATTGGAGAGTCCAAGATGAGTATTGAGTCAAAATCCATTGAAGTTAGGCTTTTATAGGGATCAGGTCAGTGATGACTATAAAAGTAAGGCACCCTCATGGGTCTAAGATACGCTTTTTGTATTCTGACTAGTGAATAAAAGCACTATTTGCTATTTTTGAGAGATAATCGAGTACTGACTTGATTGTTGGAGTACCCCCTGGTGAAAGAACCACTGCCGGAGTCTCATCTTTCTGTGACAGGGCGTTTGGGCGCAATCTATTTTGCCAGTGTTCTCCAGCTGAGTATCTGTTTGGCAGTGTGGTCAGAAAACAACGCACACAATTTGGCGCCGTCTGTGGGAAAGAAAGGAGAATAGATGGCCAACGACGGACAAAAAGAGAAGATTATGGACGACATCCCTACTGGAAGTAGTAAACACTTTGATCCTAACGTAGAAGAGGATAACTGCAACGAAGAAACTCGGGGTCAGAATCCAGAAGAGAAAGACGTTGGCTAGGAGGGAGATGTACCAAAGAAAGCAGACTGAGGCGGGTATTATAACGAGGACGACCTCCAGATATGGAAAGACAAATGTCTGCGGAGGGACGGAGAGATGAAGAGAATGACGAATAAATTGGCGGACCTGCAATCGGTCGTTAATTTCATGATGCAGAACAACGTCATGCAGCCACCGTTTCTATTACAAGACACGCCGATTCTAGCGGCAAAGAACAATACCCAGAAAATAGGACAGAAAACAGTCCCTGCAGTCCCCCAGCACACTAGGACCAAGGAACACTCTCACCGGCCTTCACGGGAGGTCGGGTGAAGAGAGTCAATAAAGGGAGATTCTCGAAGGACACATCGTACAAAAGAAGCTAACCCCAAAGAACATCAGCATGTTCAAGGGAAGGAGCTCTGTTTCGACACGACCAATGGAGGGAGGTCCAAGAGGACCCATAACGACACCAAGAGTAGCGCACCAAAGAGGCTAAAATCCGTTGATAGCCGAGCTCTTGGATGGACCAAAGAGGATATGAGAGCTTACCTCTAGAGGAAGCGACAAGATGCCGAAGTAACCTCTCCGATCAAGCCGAGAACGCCGTTCTCGGTAGAATTGGACAAATTTGAGGCCGTAAAGAGGTTTCACATGCCGAGATTCCAGATATATGATGGTAAGTCTAACCCTAACTTTCACGTTAGCTTGTACCTGAACTCAATGGCACTATACACCGGAAATGAGCCGTTACTCTGCAAGGTGTTCCCCTCATCCTTTGGAAAAATCGCATCAGACTGGTTTCATAAGTTGCCGAAAGGAACTGTGAAAAGCTGGGAAGGCCTGGTTGAGATGTTCGTGGCCAGGTTTGTGGCAAACAAACTATAGCCGTTGAGGGTGGACTCCTTGATGGCTTTGAGAATAAGCGAGGATGAAAGCCTTAGGGCTTATGCCAAGAGGTATTATGAGGTATTCAACCGAATACCAAGATGCAACCAAGAGGTAGCGGTCGTGTCTTTTAAGAACGGCCTGAATGATGATTGTCTGCTTCGAAAATCACTGGTAATGACACTGCCAAAAAGTATGGAGGAACTTATGGCCAGGATAGAGAAGTATGCGAGAGTCGAGGAAGACAAACCGGGGACAAAAGCGTCAAAACAAGAGAAGAGAAACGGCTCGCCGAAGCGAGGCCGGAGAAACACTAGATGCAACAAGCAAGAGACAGGACTGAGGGCTGCACAGGCAGTCACTACCGTATTCCGAATTCCGGTTTACAAAGTCTTGGAAAGAATATGGAATTAGCCCTATTATAAAGCACCAGAGAAAATTCCTGGAGAATTTATGGGAAGAAGTCTGGGGAAGCACTGTGCCTACCATAATGAGGATGGGCATCTAACTTAGGGGTGCAGAGCCCTAAAAACACATCTGGAGGACCTGGTAAGACAAGGTTATTTAAAGGACCTAGAAGATGAGGCCAGGACGAGGGAGGAACAAGCGAGACTGCCTCAGGCTCCAGCAGCACCACCCCCGCCAGCACCGCAACCGCAGGCAGGAGGACCTCGAGTGATCAATGTGATTCACTCGAAGGTGAATGAGAACGAGATACGTGGGGAAACTCAGAATGTAAAACACTTGCAACATGTGTATCAGGTCCGATAGAAAAGACCTAGGGCAGATGAGTGCCAGGGACCAATGGTGTCCTTTACTGAAGACGACCTAGAGATAGTGCAGCATCCGCACAACGATGCCTTGGTAATATCCCTCCAGGTTGGAGATTGCTAGGTAAAGCAATATCTAGTCAACCAGGGCAGCTTTTGTGACATCATGTATGTTAGGTGTTACAAGGAGCTTGGCCTTCACTAAGACGATTTGGAACAATCCAATGGTCCAATGGTTGGGTTTAATGGAACGCCGACGTGGCCCTTGGGGTCAATAAGTTTGGAAGTGCAGGCTGGCACCAAGAAGGTAAAAACTGAGTTCACAATAATTGACACCCCTCCCCTTTACAATGCTATCCTGGGAAGGCCATGGCTACATGCAATGGGGACAGTTCTCTCAACATTGCACCAGCTGTTGCAGTTCTCAACAGAACATTAAATTGAGGAGGTCAGAGGAGATCGGGTGCAGGCAAAAAATTGCTCCATAATAGCAATGAAATCCACCTGTAGCATACGAGAAGCGACAACAGTAGAGATTGAGGATGAGGACATGGAGGTCCTTGACGTCGTCAAAGAACCAGCTGAGAAAAGTGAGGAAGCCCTGAAGAAGATCTTAGTCCAGCAAGGGGATGAAGAGCGCTTCTTTCTTCTCGGCTCTGGCTTGGCCGAGGAAGAGGAAAAGAAATTAGAGGAATTCTTGAGAGCAAACCTTGAGGTGTGCCTGGACACCATACGAGATGCCTGGAATTGACCTCGAGGTCACTTGCCATAGACTGAATGTTGACAGGTCGGCCAAACCTGTCATTCAGCGAGCAAGGAGGCCTACGTTGATGCATGTTGAGGCAGTAGAAGAGGAGGTGGATAAACGTTTGGAGGCCAGTGCCATTATCAAACACGGTTGTTGTGAAGAAAAAGAATGGGAAGTGGAGGGTCTGTGTAGACTTCACCAGCCTGAACAAGGCTTGTCCCAAAGACAGTTTCCCACTCCCTAAAATCGACTAATTGGTGGATGCCACCTCAGGACATGGAAAGAGGAGCTGTTCTTATACTTGGCGGTATCAGAGCATGTAGTGAGTGCAATGGTAATCAGAGAAGAAAAGGGAGAACAAAGGGCTGTTTACTACGTGAGGAAAACCCTAGCAGATGCAGAGACCAGATACCTACCCTTGGAGAAACTGACACTGGCTTTAGTAATGGCTTCAAAGAAGCTGAATCATTACTTTCAGGCCCACAAGATTGTGGTGTTAACTAAACATCCTTTGA